ACTTCCACTCTAGAATAACCGTCTGTTGAAGCAAGTCACCCGGTCTCTGATGCTCATATTTCACCTACTGACAATTGAGACACCGAGCTACAAATCCTATAATATCCTTTTTCATCCTCCTCTACCAATAATGTTGTCTCAGATCTTGATACATCTTCGCGGCACTTGGATGAATGGAATACCGCAAGCTATAGGCCTCTTCCAAGATCAACTCCTGAAGCCCATCTACATTGGGCACACATATCTGGCCCTGCATTCTCAATACCCCATCATCACCAATAGTCACATCCCTGGCATCGTCATGTTGAACTCTGTCCTTAAGGACAAGCAAATGAGGATCATCATACTGGTGCTTTCTGATGCGATCAAATAAAGAAGACCGAGAAATCACACAAGTCAATACCCGACTAGGCTCCGAAATATCCAGCCTCACAAACCGATTGACCAAGGTCTGAGCATTGACTGCAAGAGGTCTCTCTCCAGTATGAATATATGCCAAACTGCCTATAATCACCGCCTTTTTACTCAAGGTATCGGCCACTACATTGGCCTTCTCCGGATGCTACAAGATAGTAATATCATAGTCCTTTAGCATTTCCAACCATCTCCGCTGCCTAAAATTGAGATCCTTCTGTTTGAACAAGTGTTGGAGGCTACGATGATCAATAAACAACTCACAAGACACACCAAACAAATAATGCCTTCAAATCTTCAACGCGTGAGCAATAGCAGCCAACTATAAATCATGAACAAGTTAGTTCTTCTCATGGGGCTTCAACTGACGAGAAGCATAAGCAATAACTCTACCCTCTTGCATCAACACACACCCAATACCCACTCTCGAAGCATCACAATATATTGTGCATGAACTTGAAGCTGATGGAAACACTATCACTGGAGTTGTGGTCAAGGTAGTCTTGAGCTTCTGAAAGCTCGCCTCACACTCATCCGACCACTGGAATGGAGCCCCCTTCCGAGTCAACATGGTCAAGGATGATGCAATAGATGAAAATCCCTGAACGAACCGACGGTAATAACCCGCCAAACCAAGAAAACTGTGAATCTTTGTGGCTGAGGATGGCCTAGGCCAACTCTGAACCGCCTCTATCTTCTTCGGATCAACCTGAATACCCCACTAGACACCACGTTCCCCAAGAAAGACACTGAACTGAGCCATAACTCACACTTGGAGAACATTGCATAAAGCTTCTCCTCCCTCAACCGCTGAAATACCACTCTCAAATGCTCTGTGTGCTCCTCCTAACTACGCGAATACACCAGAATATCATCAGTGAAAACTATGACAAACGAGTCGAGATACAGTCGGAATACGCTGTTCATCAAATGCATGAACGTTGTTGGGGTATTGGTTAGCCCAAAAGACATTACAAGGAACTCGTAGTGACCATATCGGGTGCATAAAAGTTATCTTAAGAATATCGAGTCCCTGATCTTCAGCAAGTGATACCCTGAACGGAGATCAATCTTGGAGAACACCCTCTCTCCCTGAAGCTGGTCGAACAAATCATCAATGCGAGGCAGGGGATACTTGTTCTTAATTGTAACCTTGTTCAACTGCCTGTAATCAATGCACATCCTCATCGTGCTATCCTTTTTCTTCATAAATAGAACAGGAGCACCCCACGGCGAAACACTAGGCCGAATAAACCACTTATCAAGGAGTTCTTGAAGTTGCTCCTTCAACTTCGTTGGTGCCATACGATATGGTGGAATAGAGATAGGCTGAGTTCCCGGCACTAGGTCAATACCAAAATCAATATCCCTGGTCGGTGGCATGCCCGACAGGTCTGCATGAAGAACATTAGGAAAATCCCTCACAACTGGAACAGAATCAATACTGGGAATCTCTGCACTAACATCCTTCACAAACATTAAGTACGAAAAACAACCTTTCCCAACCATCTACTGGGCATTCAGAAATGATATCACCCTACTGGGAATAAAATCAGTCGAACCTCGCCACTCAATCCGTGGCACATCCAATATAGCCAACGTTACTTTCTTAGTATGATAGTTACGATATGGGGATAACCAATCCATGCCTTATATAACATCAAAGTCCACCATACAAAGCAATAATAGGTCTACTCGAGTCTTCAGACCCTCAAGAGCAATCACACACGACCGGTATACACGGTCCACAACTATAGTATTGCCTACCGAAGTAGATACACGAACAGATGAAATAGGAGACTCACGGGGCGTATCCAAATAACGAGCAAAGTATGATGATGACACATATGAAAAAGTGGAACCAGGATCAAATAATACAGAGGCATCTCTACGGTAGACTGAGACAATACCTGTAATCCCATCATCTGAAGCAATAGCATCTGGTCTGGCTGGGAGTGCATAGAAATGGGCCTGACCACCACCTGATCGACCTCCCCCTCCAGGGAGGCCCCTAACTGACTGACCCCTACCCCTAGCTGCCTGAGCAGGTGGTGAAGTAAGTAGAGTTGAAGTCGAGGGATGACTCCTCTGCTGAGACGGACCCTTAAGAAGATGAGGACATTTCCTTCTCATATGTCCAAACGCTCCATACTCATAACAACTCCCTGGTGCAGGGAACGGGGACTGAAGGGAACCCCTGGCACCGGAATGACAAGCAGATGCACTAGCGTAGAAGAGCCCTGAACTGATGGAGCACAAGACAAACTCTGGGCTGAAAAGGCACTGAGTGGTAGATGGCCCTAATGCGAGATGTGAGAACCATAACCCGATAATACCCCACAATGAACTAGACGAGCTGACTGAGCATGTATGAATGGACGGCCTCTACCGTGCTGAAACTGACCCCTCGAAGGAGCACCACCAAAACTGCCAGATCCATGACTCTTGGCCTCCATCTCATCTCGCTCCTGGCGACGAACTGACTCAATCTCGTGGGAAATTTCAACCACCTCCTCAAAGGTAGCACCTGACACCCTCTCCCTGGTAATGAGAATCCAAAGCTGATATGTGAGACCATCAACGAACCTCTGAATCCTCTCTCTCTATCCGTAGGAACCAACCAAACGGCATGGCGAGCTAACTCTGAGAACCTCATCTCATACTGCATCACAGTCATATCTCTCTATCGCAACTACTCAAACTGCCTGCGCAGCTCCTCCCTTCGGGACTGTGGCACATACTTCTCCAATAAAACAACGGAGAACTGCTACCAGGTAAAGGGCGATGCATCAACAGGCCTACGCCTCTCATAAGCCTTCCACCAAGTAAAGGCAGCTCCAGAAAACTAAAAGGTAGTAAATGCGACCCAACTGGTCTCCAGAATACCCGTTGTACGAAGAATCCTCTTACACTTGTCCAAGAAACCCTGGGCATCCTCGCCCATTGTACCGCTGAAACTCAGAGGCTGAAGTCTACCAAACCTCTCCAATGGATGCTGCTCGTCGTCAGGCATAACTAGTACCACACACTCCTGAGTTGGTGCAACCGGCTGGGCTGGAGGTGCCCCCGGTATCTGAAGTCCCTGCACAAACTGCTCAGGTGTGCGAGCAATGGGAGTCTGAGTGCCTCCCCCGGCCTGAGAAGTAGTTGCGGTCGTAGTAACTGAGACTGCCTGAGCCAAACCAGTGTACAGTGATAGGATCTGAGCTAGAGCCTCCTGAAGGCCTAGAATTATAATAGGCACAACCGGTGCCTGAGCTGGTGTTGCTGGAGCATCCGCAACTAGGACCTAATCCTGAACTGGGGCGGCTAGTGGATCTGCAGGTGTCGCCCTAGCTGTTGTGCGGGCTACACCCATGCCTCTACCACAGCCTCAACCACGTCCTCGGCCTCTAGTGGCCCCAACTGGTGGTACTGGTGGTCGTCCATCCTGACCGGTAGCACATTTCCTCATCATCTATGAGAGAATAAAATAACAGAAGTTTAGTACTAGAATCAACAGATTCGCATGATAGGAATTTCAAGAATGTGAAGTTTTTCCAAAAGATTCTGCATCCTCCCGAGGATAAGTACAGACGTCTCCATAGCGATCCGCGAGACTCTACTAAACCGGCTCATGGCTCGCGAGACCTATGTAACCTAGGCTCTGACACCAACTTCTCACGACCCCAAATACCCCAGTTGTGATGGCGCCTATCACAGTACTAGGCAAGCCAACCAAACATTTACCACAACGAAATCTTTTATAAAAATCATTTTCTAGTATCGAATAAGTCTCAAATTCGTCATATGAAATAGATGACTAAAAAGAGAATATGCGGAAAATCCATACAAAATGCCAACTCAGCCTAACAAATCCGGTGTCACTAGTCAAGAGCCTCTAAATACAACTCAAAACTGACTGAATAATACATCATAAGTCTGAAATAACAGAATACTAAGATAGGAAAGAGGAAAGCAGGGATACGAACGTCGTGTAGCTACCTTGCAGTCTCCGGTAAAGCTCTGAGAGTGCTGGAAGCTCTCACTCTGATGCTCGAGCACCTGGATCTGCACACAAAGTACAGAGAGTAACGTGAGTACACTAACTCAATAAGTAACTAAAGTAAATAAAGTCTAAGTGTAGTGACGAGCATTTAAAATCACATAGGAAGTCTCAACAAAAATATCAACTCAAATTCTGCAATTTAATATCCAGTTATCTCATAAAACTCTAGTTCCAGTTCAAAATCCTTTGAAAATATTTAGTCAACATTTTTCAAAAGAGACTCAGTATAAAGGAAGAGTGAAAACATTAAAATGTCAAAGACAAGCCCCTCGGGCAAGGTTTTACTCATAAGTATAGCCTCTCGGGCAAGCCTCTCAGTCATTCGTGACTCAGCTCTCATCACACAGTACTCACACTCAGCACTCCAGCTCAATAAATATCTCATAGTCATAATAATGATAATAATCACTACGGTGTGCAGCCCGATCCATAGTTCATAGTCAATTAAGCTCACGGGGGGTGTGCAGACTCTGGAGGGGCTTCTACAGCCTAAGTGTCATATCGCTGTGGTGCGCAGCCCGATCTAATATATATCGCTATGGCGTGGAGCCCGATCCATATGTATATCGCTGCGGTGTGTAGCCTGATCCATATATATATATATATAATATTGCTGCGGCATGCAGCCCGATCCATAATATATATATCATCCTAACCATTAGGTCATAAACCTCTCTCAGTTATTAACCTCACGGCCACTCGGGCATATCAGTAAAAATGAGGGAACTCAGCCCAAATAGTTTTCATATATTAAGAAATAGAGTGATGAAACCGAATTTAAACAATAAACATGTAAAACATGACTGAAGATATGCTTCCAAAACAAATAGAGTGAGGAAAGTAGTAAAAATACCCCTAAGGTCGTAAACAGGTCGGCACAAGCCCCCAAACATGGCGTACAATCCAAAATATAGTATCAATCTCTAAAATACGGAATATCATAAGATTTCAAATCAAGTACGCGGCTTAATAGTCGCTACGGAATGGACAAAGTCACAATCCCTACTGGTGCACGCCCACATGCTCGTCACCTAGCATGTGCGTCACCTCATTTATCAAAACAATACAACATACCGGGACTTCATACCCTCAGGTCTAGATTTACAATGGTTACTTACCCCAAACTGGTGAAAATATTACTCTGCGATGCCCTTGCCCCTCAACTCACGTCGAATCTATCCAAAAATAGCATCACAATATCAATATATGCTAAGGGAATGAAGCCCATGCAAAAATAATCAAATTACAACACAAATACCGAAATTGACAAAACCCGACCCCGGAGCCCACGTCTCTGAATCAGATAAAAATTATATCAATAAATCTTTATCCTCCCACGAGTCCATACATACCAAAAATACCAAAATCTAACCACAAGTGACCCCTCAAATCCCTAGATTAAGGTCTCCAATTTCCATGCCCTAAACCCCCAATTTTTGCTACTAATTTCCATATATTTCAAGCTTAATCAGTCAAAAACCAACATAGAAACAAGTTTAGGGTCCAAAAACCTTACCTCCACGAAATCCTCTTGAAATCCCTCTTCAATTTGCTCCCTCAAGCTCAAACCCGTATGAGAAAAATGATAAAATAACCAAAAATTCACGAAAGAAACCTTATATACCTTTTGGCCAGGATTTTCGCACTTGTGGCCCATTTTCTGCACCTACAGAACAGCTTCTGCGGCCAGACGACCACTTCTGTGGTTTCCACTTAAATCCTGAAAACTGCACCTGCGGTCTCGCAGGTGCGACCCAACTTCCGCACCCGCGCCTTCAGCTCTTCACACCCAATTCCACATCTGCTGCTAATAGTCCGCTCCTGCAGTCCCGCACCTGCGGTCCCCAATCCGCAGGTGCGGTTATGATAGTAAATCCAGCAGCTTCAGCTGCAAAATTCCAACACCAAACTCCCCGTCAACCATCCGAAATCACCCCCGAGGCCCCCCGGACCTCAACCAAAAGCACGAATAAGTTATATACCACTATCCAAACTTATACCAATCTTCGAAACACCTAAAACAACTTCGAATCAACAAAATAACATCGGATTCAAGCCTAAAGTTCCAAAAACTTTCGAATTTTTTTTTTGATCAAAAAGTCTATCAAACCTCGTCCGAATGACCTGAAATTTTGCACACACGTCACAAATGACACAACGGACCTACTGCAACTTCCGGAATTCCATTCTGACCCCGATATCAAATTTTCACCATCAACCGGAAAACGCCAAAAATCCATTTTCACCAATTCAAGCCTAAATCTATTCCGGACTTTCAAAAATCATTTTGATCATGATCCTAAGTCCCAAATCGCCTTTCGAAGCTATCCAAATGATAAAATCAAATTCCGAGATCGTTCGCTCACAAGTCAACCTCCGGCTAATTTTTCCAACTAAAAGACCAACTTAAGAGAATAAGTGTCTCAAATCTTTCCAAAAATCATTCTGAATTCGGACCGACTAACCCGATACCATATAACATAGATAAAAAAGCATAAAGAAGCATAAATGAGAGAAAATGGAGCGGTAATTCATGAAACGACCGGACGGGTCATTACATAGAGCTGCATTTCTTAGAGATGAATAACCTTAGATGAATGCAATGTTATATTTGGTACTTAATTGTGTCCTATTCATGCTTTCTTATTTTATTAGGTGAAAGTTGATTTGATAACAAAAAGAATATAATTATTTTAAAGCATCTACTCTTAGTTGTGAGGGATAATAAGGAACCGGAAAAGCTAGTAACGATGCACATTGTAGTGTTCTTCAAATATCAATCTGATTTGTTGCCTATAAACACTTATTATTGCTAGCCAAAAACTGTATGTTTCATTTGTATAAGTAGTTATCTTCTGAAGGTATAACTAAAAATAATTTAGAAGTCTTTATTTGTACCGTAAATAGAAGTTATAAGATGAGATTAAATTTATGCAATCTTGTATGAATTAGCGTATGGATTAACATAAATGCATTTTTCTTTTTAATAAAAAAGAGTAATAGTGTCTAAACTTCTATTTAATTTATTATTGGTATGCTTGTCATTTTTTTAGAGATCATGGGATAAATTTACTAGTATCGTTAATATATCGAAGGATTTAAGTTATACTAGTGTAACAATACCATTAACATATAGAATGATACATACATCTAACGCTAAAAGCTTGCTGGCACCCAATTTTTGCACCAAACTTTATCATGCACGATTAATTAGTAGTAATTATAAATATGGTGAAAATATACATTGAGTCAAAGTTAATTCCAAGAAAATGGTGTTTCAAGAAGCGTATATATACATATATGGATGATGTTAAATTTTTAAATTTACAGCTAGTCCAATGACAAAAGACACGTTTTCCTTTTCTCTAGTTTACGTTGGGGTAAATTTACTAGCTTTTCCATTTCTTATAAAAGAGGTGTACGTATAATATTGTCCTTTAATTTCTTTTCTCACTTCAAAAAATCTGTTAGATTAACCAAACATGTGAAAGGGGATATATTAATGACCAAAATAAAGTAATTAACTCCAATATGTTAAGGACTACTTTGATCATTTCTCCTTTAGAAATTTCTTATTGGATGAGTGCAGTTAGAGAAAATAAATAAATTGTAAACGAAAGAGAAAAAAGTAAAAGAAACAAGAAACTATATTTTCAGTTTTACCTGTTCACAACTGTACTAATTAGTTTAATTGTAAAAAAACTTACGCATTGTATACAAAGATTAGGAAAAAACTAACTTGAGTCCCAAGCTTAACCTTCCGCAGAAATCAACACTTCTTTTCTCTCCTAAAAATTTGTTTCCTAAATTTTCTCTGTTGGAATTAACCTGATCAGATATCTATAAATAGTCCATTATATTACAGCATTCACATCAATTAACTTCCGCCATTCGTTTAGGTTTTTCTTTCATAGTTCTTGTCTTCTTACTTGAGAGAACAAAAGTTCTTCTCTTTGCGAATTGCCAGCTGCACGCCGTGGGTGTATCATGGGTGTTCGGTTTCACCCTACTGAAGCAGAGTTGATCAACTTTCTGAAAAGGTTCCTAAAGGGCGAGCTTTTGCCGAGTGAATGCCCTAATTTCCAACTTGCCGATATCTATGGAGACCAACCACCATGGGAGATATTTGGAGCTAATTCTGATCATCCCAAAGAGAAGGTTCGCTATATTTTTACTCGGTTGAAGAAGCAGAAGAGTGAGCATACAAGGGTTCGTCGAACTTGCGCCAACGGGACATGGAAAGGCCAAACCGGTATTGATCCTATCAAGAACGCTAAGGGAACTGTGGTTGGGTTTAGAAGATGTTTCAAGTTTCAAACTAGTCGTAGTAAAGAAGGCGAGCACAATAAAAATTGGCTGATGAAAGAATATTCCGTCGGGAATGATTTCTTTAGAGAAAACAATATTCCTAAGGAGGATATTGTTGTGTGCCGAATCAAGAAGAATATAAGATCAAAGAAAAATCATGGGGTAAATATGGAGGAACAAGATGTTCCAAAAGCAATCGAAGCTATGTTACATGGACCTGATGAAGATTACTGCACAACAGTACAACCAGCAACAATATGTCAAGCAGCTGATCAACATCAAGTTAATGACTGGTCCAACTACCAACAGGAGGTCAATTGGGCTGATGATATGCTCATAGGGATAGACGAGTTTGGAGATATAATCTGGTAAGCATGAGTAATGAAAGGGAAGCAGATATATCGATGGCCGACGGGAGGAGAGACACGCAGCAATCAATTTATATATAACTTTGTTGAATGAAGTACAAGATGAAATTTACAGTAAAAATAGGAGTAGCTTTTAGCTAGGTAACAGTTTCTCAGTAGAACTAATTACTTCGTAAAAGAAACTAGCTAGCTATTGCCAGAAGAATTTCCTTGTATTCACATATATATATATATGGAGTATCACTTAATATAACTTTGACATGATTTCCTGCTATGTATTGTTGTAGGTTTAATGCTTAATATCTGTTCTCTGGCAGTAATTCTTTGTCATCATTCATGCTTATCAAAAAATTCTAACTAATTAATCTTTCACAATTTTTGTTGGATCAAATCCATCCTCTGGCTAGCTATAGAACAAATTACTATCCATATTATTCTCGTAGCGTATCTTGTTGGTTTCACTGAATAAAATTATTATTTGTTGTTTTGATTGCAACGGATGTCTTTCTTGTCATACTCTTACTGGTTTTTGTCTGTAGTGCAGGATTTTATAATGACTCTCTAAAGTATTTATTTTGTTCCACATATGTACATTGGTGACTAAACTCCGAGCTAATCAATATCAGGGACTGTTGATATTTTTTGATTATTTTTTTAAAGTGTAACCTCATATAGTCAAGTTAACTGTACTAAGCTTGTTGTTAAACACTGCTAAAGTAAACTAGTTTGATCACCCCCGTCACGAATTGTTTACACGCAAAAGAAGCCCGTTTTAAATTTTCTCTAGGTAGATTCAGAATACGGTGTAATTTTTGTAATCCGATTATTTCCGTTTCCCATATTGTCTCCATAAATATTTTCCCCAAGTTCTTAAATTATAACTTGGATGAATAATGATGTCCCGTACTATTATCAAGTTTACGTTTAATTAATTAATCACATCTTAACCATGCATGATTAGGATTATGAATAGTTAATTCCATATAAATATTTGCTAACAAAAGATTTGGCGCGCGATTCCAATCATCGCAATTGGAGGCATACTATTTCCATTTACACAGTGCTCGAACTAATGATGTTCTAGTTGAGCACCTGAACACATAATAAAGTGTTCCAATTAGACACTTGCCACCGGAGATATTGGAAAAATGGTTTTCAATTTAACGAGGAGAGCCTTCAAATGTATTTAACGGAATAGGAGTTTGTTTTTAATTGATTGGGTTCTTTTTTAACTGACATGCCTTGTTTTTGTTTGTTATAGTACCTGCTTATATTTGATGTGTATAATTACAGGAGGTGGGATATATATTTTAAGTGGTTAATTTATCCAGGTGACGAACACAAGCAGACAGAAGCTTTTTCAAAGTTTGAGACAGAAGTGTCTAATATGAACATTTTATGATGTGTTTAGATGCTCAATCGGAATAGTTAGTGAGAGTAATCCACAGATTATTGTCTGTGAGATAATTAGTGTGTGGTAGTAATATTGTAGTGAAGTGTGTTAAATAAAGAGTGTTATTTCTTTCAAAGTTGTAGTAGTTTCTTGACACTACTAAGTTGCAATATTATAGTGATAATATTGCTCCAGTCGGGTATTGTATTTTACCCCGCTAAAATATTTGGTGCCATTGTTATTCTCTTGTGTTATTATTATTTGCTGTGGATATTATTCCTGAGCGGGATTATTTATTTATTTTATCCCAACAAATGCAAGTGAAGCAAATTGTGATGAAGTTCACATTCATGCCATTCCTAGAGGACCTGCTACCTTTGAAATATGTGCCAAGTTTTGTTACGGCATCACTGTTACAGTGAAGAAGCTATTGAGAAAGGAAACCTTATTTACAAGATTGATGTTTTCCTAAACTCGAGCTTTTTCGGAGCTGGAAAGATTCAATAAAAGTTCTTCAAACTACTAAGTCTCAGTCACGTTTGTGTGAAGAACTAAAGTTGATCAGCCACAGCATTGATGCTATAGCACCCAAGAGAGTGAATTGGTCCTATACGCAAAAGCTTCCAAAGGAGAACAGAAATGATCCTAATTTGAATGGTATTAGAAGCCGCATGGTGCCAAAATATTGGTGGGTTAGGACTTAAGTGAGCTTGAAGTAGATTTATATAAGCGGGTAATTGTCACCATAAAAAACAAAGGCATTCTTTCTTTTGAAGTAATTGGAGAAGCTATGAAAGCTTATGCTTATAGAAGGTGTTTAATAAAGTGTGTTCCAGTTAAATATAGTCTCTAAATGTCGTGCAATATTGGATATGATTGTATGGTTGTTGTCCTCTGAGAAAGGTTGTGTCTCTTCTAGTTTCTTGTTAGAACTGCTGAGAGCATCAATTTCACTTGATTCTGGATAAATTGCAAAAGCTGAACTAGTTAAAAGAATAGGGCATCAATTGTAGGAGGCTTCTGTAAATGATCTTTTGAATCAAGCCGCGAATGGGGAAGGAACCATGTATGATGTCCATGTCGTCCAGAAAATATTAGAAGTTTTTATAATGCGAGATAAGGATTCTGAACCTCAGCTAGAAGATGGAGATGAAATTCAGGAGATCCGAAAGCCAGGGATTTTATTAGAAGCTTCAAAACTAATGGTGGCAAAGCTAGTAGATGGATGCCTTACCAAAATTGCGAAAGATCCTAATATCCCTTTGTCAGCATTTATTGGTCTAGCAGAGATGATATCCAATTTTCCTCGACCCGGTCATGATGGTATCACTGGTGCAATTGATATGTACCTTAAGGAGCACCCTGGAATCAGCAAGAGTGAGAGGCAGAGAATTTTGTAAGATGATGGACTGCAAGAAGCTCTCGGTGGATGCTTGTATGCATGATGTGCAAAACGAGAGGCTATCCCTTCGTTTTGTTCTACAAGTGCTCTTTTTCGAGCAAGTTAGGGCTAATGCATGCCTCGTCTGGGAGCAGTACCCCGGATCTGGCCAAAGCTATTAGGACCTTAATAATGCTTCATCTGGAAGTTCAAGATCTGCAACAACAAATATAGACGAAGATTGGGATGATGCAGCCTTTGCAGAAGAACTCAGGGCCTTGAGAGGAGAGAGCTTGCAGCCTTTAGAATGGGAAATGGCGGAACAAATACAAAGTTAATGGTGATGTAAAGAGCCATGCAGACAAGGCTGCCAATTGCCATGGAGTAGAATGAAAGGTTTGCTCATGTCAAAGAGGATCTTCTCGAAAATCTGGTCAAACAAAAGGGACAAGGGGAGAATAGTGGGTCAGATTCGTCTGATAGTCTTGGATGTGCTAACTTGGAAGAAGCTAAGGAATGTACTCTTGGTGGCTTTTTTTAATATTGATATTAGCATGTCAAAAAGACTAGTCGTCTTTCTCTGAAGTCCTCTAGAAGAAAACGAAGGATATAGTTTGACAAAAAAGTTTATAGGAGGAAATGAAGCCTCTTATGGAGTCCGGAACCCCATTGTAGTTCTTTTGGACTCAAATTACGTAAATAAATGTTAAAAAAAATACCTTTTTATATATAACTCCAAAATACACCACGCTATACCTTAACAATAACTTTTGCCGTTAAGGTATAGCGTGACGTATTTTTACGCTATATATACTGACGATGCATAAAAATACAGCACACTATACCCCTAATTAAATAATTCCCTTCGTCNTTAAAAAAAATTATGGACCCCACCCGTCACACAAAACGTTAAGAACATAAGTCCCACATCGTAGTAGAGCATCGTATTATTGTGGTTTCACTCTTTCGAACTCAAATATTCACACAAAGCACTACATCGAGGTAATTTGATTTATTTTATGTCGAAACTTGAATAATAATGCATATTAGTTGATTGAATGTGTTTCTATGTCGTTTTATGTTTTATTTGCGAAACTAGTATGTTATATTTATCCGGACTTAGATATTAGTGTTCTAAAAAATGTAAAATTGAGAAATAATTTTTTCTATTAATATCAGGATTTAGATATTAGTGTTTTCATGTCGTTTTGTGTTTTATTTGCGAAAGTAGTATGTTATATGTATTTTTATGAATGTTATGTGATTAAAATGTATTTGTTGTTTATATTTAGTTTAGATTATTTATTAGCGTAGTAAAATATAGAATCTTTTAGCGTAGTAAAGTGTAGAGTATTTTAGCGTAAAATCCCTATAGTTTAAGTATTTCTTATACTGGTAGATGAAAATATATACTTTGTACAATTAAATAATTAAAAATTAAGAATGTAAATTATAAAACAAACACACACAAAATTATCAAAATATTGAATTTGACACACATAATTATTCATGATAGTTTGGTGCTACTGGGCCTCAAATATCGAGCCTGGAACCTAATAGGTATATATACTTTGTACAATTAAATACTTAAAAATTAAGAATTTAAATTATAAAACAACACACACAAAATTATTAAAATATTGAATTTGACACACATAATTATTCATGATAGTTTGGTGCTACTGAGCTCAAATATCGAGTCTGGAACCCAATAGGAATATATACTTTGTACAAGTAAATAATTAAAAATTAAGAATTTAAATTATAAAATAAACACACACAAAATTATCAAAATATTAAATTTGACACGCATAATTATTCAAGATAGTTTGGTACTACTGGGCCTCAAATATCGAGCATGGGACCCAATAGGTATATATATACTTTCTACAATTAAATAATTAAAAATTAAGAATTTAAATTGTAAAACAAACATACACAAAATTATTAAATTATTAAATTTGACACACATAATTATTCATGATAGTTTGGTGCTACTGAGCCTCAAATATTGAGCCTCGAACCCAACAGGTATATATACTTTGCACAATTAAATAATTAAAAATTAAGAATTTAAATTATAAAACAAACACACACAATATTGAATTTGACACACATAATTATTCATGATAGTTTGGTCCTACTGGGCCTCAAATATCGAGTCTCGATCCTAATAGGTATATGTACTTTCTACAATTAAATAATTAAAAATTAAGAATTTAAATTATAA